CCTTTGTGTAACAACCCTGCAGGTTCTCTGCAGGTTGGAACATGAGCTGCATGGTTGGGTGGAGCCATGATTTGGAAGGTGACACCGACAAATGCCAGGTGCTTGGGAAACTTTGCAACAAATCTGAACAGTTGAGAAGAGCAGCACTGAGCCCACAGCACTTAAAATAAAGATCCAAGTTGCTATAGCCCAAACAGAGGCTCTCTTATCACAGGGCTCTGTGGGGGGCAATGGCTGAAACCACAGAGAAGAGCATGTGATTTAAAAGGACGCAGTGTGGAGGGACTCCGATCTCCAGTCCAAGGTCCTGACAGCAGCTGGGAAACAGTGGAAGAAAGAAATGACCATGGACACACAGCTGATATTAGCATGCACAGATGGGAAAATGAAGGTAAAATGTTTCCCATTACCACTGAGATAAAGGGAGTGAAAACATGTTTTTCTCCAAGAGGCTCAAGACACTAGAGCAAACGATGAAGGCTTTGGATCAAAGCAGCACACGCTGACAGGGGAAGGCAGAACCAATTTGGGAACAGACTGAAGCGGTGCACCGCCAGCACACTCATGGACCTCTACACCTTAGAAGGAACATTGCTATGCACACCCCTGGGGGAGCCCTGGAAGATGTGTACCCCCTGATCTGTGTGTGGGGTGAGAGTGAGCTGCCAGGGGTCACTGGGGCTACGCTTGGGGCAGGCGGCAGCAGCACTGGGAGGGGAGTCTATGAGGGGTAGGCTATGATGAATTTTGGGGTGGCTGTATCCCCAGTAATCCCCCCTCACCCGAGCATCACTGCTGCCTGCCCCAGGTCTAGTCCTAGCCCAACCCCTTGCTGGGAAGAGCTTGGCAGTGCTGCCAGCTCCACCCTGCAGTAGCAGCCTGCCCTCGCCCCACGCACACATATGGGAGCACACGCCCCCCTATGCCTGCCTCAGGGGTGTGTGCAGCGGTGGAATCCACACCTTCCCCCTCCCCGTGCCCCCCAGACAACAATCTCAGGACTCTGCCCCATGCCCAGTCGTGCCCCAGCTGGGCAGCGCCTGCCCCATCCCCACTCCCTCACCACAGGGTCCCCCCATGCCCCTTCCCCACCAACAGATATACTAGCTGGATGCTGCTCTCCAAGATGCCGGGCTGCTTATTGGCAATCGGATTGGTATTGCCTGGTATGGCTCATTAATAATCAGCCATCAGTATTGGCCCAAAAATTCTTTATCATGCACCCCTAATATTAACTACAGCTTCAGT